GCCCCCCCGCTCACTATAGTAAGGATTGAGGCTATTGGGTTTCCAACTTTTGGGCTTCTACTTTAGGGGTTTACGGTTTATAGGGGTTTCGGGTTTAGGGGTTTAGGATTTAGGTTGTAGAAGCATTCACGAGCTTGAGGAGATAGGCTGCGGGCTTGAGCGTTGAGGGCTTCCAGAAGTCTTGAAGGGTCACGGTTCATTAGGTTCCCTGAGTGCTCCTTAAAAAGGGTACTGTAGGGACATCAATAGTTAGAACGGGGCCCAACTATACTATAACTACAACAAGAAACCCTACGAATACGGTTGATGATATAAAGTTCAGCCTTCACAAAGTTCGCAAATCTAGCTACAAACTCCTACAACCACCCTCTTCTGTTCACTTTGGTTCGTTTAGTACCTCCTTTCAGGTTTCCTTCAAAGGTTCCTTGTAAGGGTTCCTTTGAGGGTTACAGTTACTGTAATTTAAGGGTTCCGGTGCTACTTTAGGGTTCCTGTGAGGATACCCCTCAGCCCCCCAGGGCGGACGTGAGCCGCATGGCTGCAGCCAGGCTCTTTGCTGAGCTTTGGGGACGTTTAGGGTTTAGGGTTTAGGGTTTTTGGTTTAGGGTTCAGGGTTTATTTCTGGTTTTGAGTGGTGACGTAGACCCCAGATAACTTCCTTAACCATCCGGCTCCAGGGAGTAAACTTTAGGCCAAGCTACGTTCACTCTAAACCCCAAACCCTAAACCCCAAGGGAACGTGCGCGCTTCGGGACAACGAAACATGCCCGAAGGTAAGGATAGGGTTCCCTTGAGAGCATATACAGTTTCATAGTTACACGGTTTAGAGTTCGTTATAGGGTTTGGAATGTACGGATGAACTTATGGTTTAGGGGTTGGTTATAAGGCTTTGCGTAAAGACCTGTATGAAGGATCCATACCGTCGAGGTATGCGACCGGCGGAGGCAGACCAGCAAGCAACAAAATTGCCGAACGACTACAATGGGGTAATACTCGGTATTACTATAACGTCCTTTTCAGACCTAGACCCTAAACCCTAAACCCTAAACCCTAAACCCTAGACCCTAAACCCTAAACCCCTAAAGCCCTAAACCCTAATCTACAAGGGACTGGAGCAAGCACCACTGTACTGTAGAGCTCGAAAGGGGCCCGCCACTCAGAGCCTCGGTGGCACAGATTCACCTACGGTGAACCCGAAACCCTAAACACAGGGTCCTTGGTCGGCTTAGGGTTTAGGGTTTAGGGTTTAGGGTTTAGGGTTTAGGGTTTACGGTTTAGGGTTTAGAGTAGCATACCTTATTTGGGCTTCACTTATAACGAGGAACCGTAACGTACGATCTCATTGATTCCTTAAAGGATCATGGCACTTGGTCACTAGGGATACGCTAGGGTAGCTATACTTGTAAGTACCACGTATAGCCAGACTTACCAAATCCAATGATCCTTCCAGGAAGCCCCTAAACTCCAAACCCCAAACGCTGCACCTAATCCTGAAACTAGTGAGGGTGCGTGAAAACCCTGCCCATGTGCTTGACCTTTACCATGGTTATCGCTTTTGTTCATACTCTTAACGTTTTACAGGACTTTGGGACTGTATGATAAGAGCTAACATTATGAACACTCGTTATCGTTTTGTTACTCTTATCGTTGTACAAGGAATTCGGCTGCTCTCAACGTACGGATGCATCTACTTTAAAAAGTGCTCTCGGGGGGGGGGGGGGTTAAATCCCTCTAGTGGTCCCTAAACCCTAAACCCTAAACCCTAAACCCTAAACCCTAAACCCTTCAGGGTTTAGGGTTTCAGGGCTTCGGGTTCCCTCGAGCCTCCTTAGACAGCAACTTCCAGGGCCAAGTACGTAGCACAGGGGAGCTGGGAGCCCAGCTTCAAAGTTGAGGGTTCAGGCTCTACCCATAGGCCCCTTAGTAGTTCCTTTTTGGGATTACCTTATAGGATTCTAAGTATGAACCCCAAGAAGGAACTACTTTAGGGCCTATGGGTAGGGATGTCGAGGGTTTAGGGTTGAGGGTTTAGGGGCGTAGGTTTAAGGTTTTAGCGTTTAGGGTTCAAGGTATAGGATCTAGGGTCAGGGTTACGGGGTTTAGGCTTTCCCAAACCTCAACAAATTCGTAAACCAACGTTTGTGAAGCCTTATTCAGGGGGTCCATATGTACCACTATTATGGAATAAAGTCCCCAAACAAAGACTATCCTAATAATGGTTTTGGGGGACTTAATTCCATAATAGTAGCATATGCGGACCCTCTTGGCCAACATTGGACAATCCTTTCACCCGAAAGCCCTTCGCCTAAGCTCTAAAGGCGCCCTAAACCCTAAACCCTAAACCCCTAAACCCTAAACCCTAAACCCTAAACCCCTAAACCCTAAACCCTAAACCCTAAACCTTAGTTCTAAAGGCCCCGAAGCCCCAAGGACCACTGCCTGGAGGCTGCTGGAGCTCCGAAATCATGACGAGGGCGCATGAGGGCACCTCCACCACTTGCACGGCTTGGGATTTAGGGTTTAGGGGTTTGGGAGATGGGGTTTAGGGCCTAGTCAAGCTATAGCTACGGCATTGTCACAGTGCAGAGCGACTGATGCATGGCAGGTGTCAATGTATGTTGTTTGAAGTCCTCGTGTGCAGCTTATGGGTGCGGATGCTCACATTGCTACTACTCCAAACACTCTGAACCCTAAACACCCTAAACACCCGACCCTAAACCCTAAACCCTAAACCCTAAACCCCTAACTATAAACTCTCCACCCTAAACCTTTGAGAAATGGCGAGTTCGAAGTTGGAGCGCTTCGAGCATGGCAGCGGGGACATTCGAGAGCTTGAACAGTAGACGCCCTCGGGGTTTAGGGTTTGGGGTTTAGGGTCTAGGGTTTAGGGGTTTAGGGGTTTAGGGTTTAGGGGTTTAGGGTTTAGGGGTTGGGGTTTAGGGTCTAGGGTTTAGGGGTTTCGGGTTTAGGGGTTTAGGGTTTAGGGTAGAGGGTTTAGGGTTTAGGCGTTTAGGGTTTAGGGTTTTGGGGTCGAATTGGGGAGTTTTTGGGTTTAGGGGTCTAATTAGGGATCTAATTAGGGAGTTTAGGGTTTAGGGGCTAATTGGGGAGTTTAGGGTTGGCCCTACAAGCCGAAAAGTTGGAAACCCAATAGCCTCATCC